GTGAGGGTGAGAGGACTGTGTGTGTACATGTGTCAGTGTGGGTGAGAGGACAGTGTGTGTGCTCACGTGTCAGAGAGGGTGAGAGGACGTGTGTGCACGTGTCAGTGAGGGTGAGAGGACATGTGTGTGCACACGTGTCAGTGAGGGTGAGAGGACATGTGTGTGTACCTTTGTCAGTGAGGGTGAGAGGACATGTGTGTGTACCTGTGTCAGTGAGGGTGAGAGGACATGTGTGTGTACCTGTGTCAGTGAGGGTGAGAGGACACGGTGTGTGTGCACACGTGTCAGCGAGGGTGAGAGGACACGATGTGTGCACACGTATCAGAGAGGGTGAGAGGAAACGGTGTGTGCACGTGTCAGTGAGTGTGAGAGGACACGGTGTGTGCACACGTCTCAGGGAGGGTGAGAGGACAGTGTGTGTGCATGTGTCGGTGAGCGTGGGAGTATACAGTGTGTGTGTATATGCATGGTGTACACAGCCAAAAGCCTTTGTATAATCGTTGAAGCACATGTAAACATCTTTCTGGCATTCTCTGCTTTCAGCCAAGATCCATCGTATGTCAGCAATGATATCTCTCAGGCCAAGTCTTCTTCTAAATCCGGTTTGAATTTCTGGCAGTTTCCTGTCAATGTACTGTTGCAGCCATTTCTGAATTATCTTTACCAAAATTTTTTCTTGCTTGTGATATTATTGATATTGTCCAATGATTTCCACATTTCGTTGGGTCACATCTCTTTGGAATGGGCACAAATATGGATCTCTTTCAATCAGTTGGCCAGGTAGCTGTCTTTCCAACTTCTTGGCAGAGATGAGTGAGTGCTTTTTTTTCTGCATCAGTTTGTTGAACAATTTCAATATGTATTCTGCCAGTTCCCGGAGCCAATGCTTTTAGTGCATCCCAGACTGCTTCAGTACCAGTGGATCTTGATCATATATTAGCTCTTCAAATAGTTCTTCACTAACCACTTCTTCTTGGTACAGTGTCTCTGTGTATTCCTTACATCATCTTCGGATGCATTCTGCATCATTCAATATTTTGCGCCTAGAATCCTTCAATATTGTGAATCTAGGTTTAAATTGTTTCCTTCGGTTCTGTCAGCTTGAGAAATGCTGAGCATGTTCTTCCCTTTGGGTTTTCTAACTCCAGGTCTTTGCACATTTCATTATAATATTTGACTTTGTCTTCTTGAGCTGACCTTTGCTCTTTTCTGTTCAGCTTTCTTACATCCCCATTTCTTCCATTTGCTTTAGCATCTCTACTCTGGAGAGCAAGTTTCAGAGTCTCTTCTGACATCCATTTTGGCCTTTTCCTTCTTTCTTGTCTTCTCAATGATATTTTGTTTTCTTCCTGTAAGATGTTCTTGATGTCATCCCACAACTCTTCTGGTCTTAGGTCTTTAGTGTCTAATTAATCAAATCTGTTCTTGAGATAATCTCTAAATTCAGGTGGGATATGTGCAAGGTCCTATTTTGGCTCTTGTGGACTTGTTTTAATTTTCTTCAGCTTCATAACTTCCATATGAGCAACTGATGTTTGGTTCCACAGGCTGCCCCTGGCCTTGTTTTGGCTGATGATATGGAAGTTTTCCACTGTCTCTTTACAAGATGTAGTCTATTTGATTAGTGTGTATTCCATTTGGTGAAGTCCATGTGTATAGTCATTTTTAATGTTGTTAAAGAAAATATTTGCAATGAAGAAGTCAATGGTCTTACAAAATACTATCAAGTGATCTCTAGCATCATTGTTATCATCAAAGCTATATTTTCCAACTACTGATTCTTGCTCTTTGTTTTCAATCTTGGCATACCAATCACCAGTAATTAGCAATACATTTTGATTACATGTTTGATCAATTTCAGACTGAAGAAATTTGTAGGATTCTTCAATTTCATCATCACTGGCTTTAGTGGTTGGTGCATAAATTTGAATAATAGTGGTACTAACTGGTATTCCTTGTAGGTGTATGGATATTATCCTATCACAGACAGCGTTGTACTTCAAGACAGATCTTGATAAGTTCTTTGGCTAATGAATCCAATGCTGTTCTTCAATTTGTCATTCCAGGCATAGTAAACCATTGATTGTCCAATTCAAATTGGCCAATGCCAGTCCACTTCAGCTCACTAATGCCTAGGATGTCGATGTTTATGCGTTCCATTTCATTTTTGGCGAGTTCCAATATTCCTAGATTCATACTTTGTTCTGATTGTTAATGGATGGTTACAGCTGTTTCTTCTCCTCATTTTAAGTTGTGCCCCATCAGCAAATGACGGTCCTGAAAGACTCAAGTCTACTTGGAGGAGGTAGTTCTTCCCCAGGTGAAATCTGCGTGCCTTCCAGGCTGCGGGGTTCATCTTCTGTCTGCCAGGATTCTGGTGCTCGACATCTTGTTATCATTTTCTGGGACTATTTCTCATGAGGGTCTGCTGCTATCCATAAGGGTTCTGGTGGCTAATTATTCAGAAGTGGTCTGCCTCACCTTCTGCCCAATATGTCTTAGTCTGGAAGCTCAGCTGAAGCCTGTCCGCAATTGGTAACCCTGCTGGTAGTTAAACTACTAGTGCCATCGCTTCCTGCATCCCAGCCCCAGGCACCACAGAAAGACAGACTGGCGTAGGGTGGGATGCTACCCTCTTCTTCCAATCACAGCTCAGATCCAAAGTAAGGTGAGTTCCCCTGAGGTGGGGTCTGCATCAAATGAGTCCGAGAGGGAGGGTTCTGACGACCACCAAGAAAGAAGAGCCCTTTGGAGCTCCTAGATCCAGGGAAAGATGCTGCCAAGATCTGTGGAGTCCTCCAGGGAATGCCAGGCCTACAGATGGTGGAAGGAGGCAAATACCTTTCTGTGCCCTCCAGCCAACGCAGGCAGAAGACTCCGTACAACCCGAGCTGAATCTGAACTTCCAGCGTCAAACACTGGGGCGGCGCTGTGGGAGAAAGCACTGGAACGCACGGTCAGCAGTTCAAACTCACCAGTCGTTCCTTGGAAACCCTATACAGGGTCGCTGTGAGTCGAAACTGAATCGACAACACTTAAGAACAACAAACCGAGACATTAAATTTGTGTTTACTAAGCCATCTCCTCAGGTTCGCTCTGTTAAAGCAGCACAGGAGATATCAGACACGTAGGAACTACTTTACTGAGTTGTTGTCAAGTGCCATTAGGTTGGTTCTGACTCAGAGGCACTCTGATTAGGATTTCTGAGGAGCAACTGGTGGGTTTGAACTGCTGACTTTGTGGTTCACTGTCCAGTGCTGATCCTACAGTGCCATACCAGGCATCTCATGACTAGGGTACTAACTCCAGATAGGACTGTTCAATGTATGCCTGTAGATTCCCACTGGCTCTGTTCATTGTCCAAGTGTAGCTATAAAACTCACACTGTGGATTCAACTCCGGCTCCCAGCCACCCGAAGGCCAGAGCAGAACCTCCCCCGAGGGATTCGAGGTGATGCTCTTCAAGGAAGACACTGCCGTAGTGCCATATTTCCCTCCCACAGAGCCACCGCTGGGGTCTAGTTGCCAACTGTTGGTTAGCAGCGTTAGCATAAACGATCGTGTACGGGTATTTTAAGAATTTCATTCTCAGGGAAGTTGTACAAAGTGAGAAGAAAAATATGATTTGTCTGAGGTTAACCCACTGAGGATGCTAAATTCTACCTTCTTCTCAAATGTGAAGGATTTTTAGGTTCAGATGCATATTCATGGGTGTTAAGTCTGATGACCACAGAGATTTGCTACACCGACTTTGTCGTCTGCTTTGGAAGAGAACTGGAGAGAAGCAGTTTTACTGGTGCGACTTCCTCATAGTTGATAGCAATACTGCAGTTGCCTTTAGAACACGCTCAGCAATTGGCAAGCACATATATGTAAATAACAAATTTGACTTTTATCCACTGCCTTTTGTTAGCTTAACTAAGCCATGGGGGATGACAGAAGAACATCTGAACAATCTGGGTCACAAGGAGAGGAGAGAGTTCTCTGTGAAACAAGATGTCTTCCTAAGAAGGACATATACCTGCGCACTGAGAACTACCGCATGTGATTGTTTCACGGAGAACCGTGTCCTTCTTAGGGGAGGGAGATAAATGAATAACCCACGCAGGAATCTAACAATAGTTCAGCAGAACCAACTGTAAAGAGAATGCTCTCGGGCTGTACCAGGGATCCTGAGTGTGTCTTTAATCTCAGCTGTACGGTCAGTTGCACACTCCCCCCAAGCATAGTTAAAGATACACCAGGGCTATATGGAAAACCTACATTTTCAATGGGCTTTGTCATTAATGCTTTATTAATTGCCCCAGGCTATGCAAACCCAAGCCTGGCAAGCTATAACAACATGACACTTTAAGGTCAAATCCAATCCCTGCTGTTTTATGGGATGGGCCAAATATTGCAGTAACAGCAGGAAAGGCAATTTAAGGGCTTTTCCCTCCAGCTCCTGATAACCCCATCTAAATTAGATAGGAATTTTTTGAAATAATGAAAACATCTTCACGGAATATTATAAAATAAAAAGACATAGAACACAATGGAAGAATGCCGAATTGTTCTCTGTGGTGTTCAAGCTGAATCTCTCCTTTTCTTTTTAGTTTAGCTGTATCATTGAATGCTAAAATATGACAGAGGAAACTGCAGTGTACATCTTATACAGAGACATGGACACAGCATCCTGAAAACACACAGGCTTCGGATGGAGCCTACCTTGACGTCTGAGGTGTCCCTCTGGCTGGTTCTCCAGGACCTGGCCACAGACGAGAAGGTCCGCTCGGGATGGTCGAATTTCCCATCATTGGCATTCAGGAAGAAGGTTGTGAAGGGCTCCTGCGTGGAGAACAGAGCCAGGAGTTTGGAGACTGTACACACTCTTGCCCCCTTTCCTTTGTACACCGTGACCACCTTTGATGACCCCTGTGAGGTGGGACCAGCACCAGTCCTAGAAACATGCCCACCCAAAACAGGCCAGATCTGCTCAGCCTCCTGGCCCGCTGCTTTGCAGCTTCGGCCGGCGACTGCACGCCCCAGCCTTCATTCTTCTGATTGAGACAGAGACCCTGGTCCTCATGCTCCGTCAGCTTGTGAGAAAAGATCTTCCTTTATTGTCAATGTGTAACTCAGATTTCATTTCTAATGTTTAAGGCCATGCATGGCATTGGTGGATGAAATGAGGCACTGCAACTCAGGAGGTGGGCGGTTCAAACCCATCAGCAGCTCTGTGGGAAGAAAGAATTGGTGATCTTCTGCATAAAGATGACAGGCTACGAAACCCTATGGGGCAGTTCTCCTCTGTCACACGGGGGCGCTGTGAGTGGATGATCTATAAGAATATATATGAGTATATAGTGACACAATAGATGACAGCCTAGGAAACCCTGTGGGGCAGTTCTACTCTGTTACACCAGGGGGCGCTGTGAGTGGATGATCTATAAGAGTATATATGAGTATATAGTGACACAATAGATGACAGCCTAGGAAACCCTG